TATTCCGTTTGTTCAACAGGGAGACAGTGGATGACATCCCAACCACCCTACCTCGACAGCTAACCCCACGTCGACAGAATGTATGTATTTCTGATTACATTGCACACAATCATCTCTTAGTCCAATGCATAGCTAATCATCAACAGAATTTAAAATTCATCATGTATATTTAATTTTTCTATAATTTGTTTATAATTCATTAAAATAGCTGTAATAACAGAAATCTGGTTTTGATTTATGTTTTAATCATATTTATACTATTCTGGTATTTGAAATGTTAACGTATTTTGACTGTGGTTTTCAGAGTCGTAATGTCATGTAATCTTGTAAGTGATTGCCAATGTTGCAAAAGAATGCAACACCAGAGGTGGAGGTAATACATTCCTTTAAAACATTGGTAACTACCTATAATACTACATGTCGTCACAACCTGAACAATCACAATCAACTTACTCATAGCCATGAAAACCTAAAATCTTAAATTATAACATTGTGTTCATGAATGGAGGCTCATCTGATAGGATAGTCCATGTTAGATTATTTAGCATCACCTTAGCATGGGAAAATTTAAGTATTCAAAAATTTCAGAACTGTGTATATTGTATTTCTCCTCTGAATAAACCGACACAATTCTACTTTTCTGATACCTCACAGGGATGAACTATGTTCTCCTTTAGAAAGTTACGGTGTCAGCAAAATCTGATAAATCTAATTAAAAGCGTTTACAAAAATCCAGTACACAAATATTTTAATCTTTAACATAATAGCACTCAAATGTAAGCTTCATTTCCCAATCTGAAAAGGCTTTCACAATGACAGTTGATCTAAAGAAGTTTGTCAGACTTAGAAGGAAATATGACGAATGAATTTAGTGAAAGCTCAGTCACACGTTTTCCCACTTGGACCTTTGGAACCAAGAAACACCAGCATCCTCGAATAATGAAAGTGTTATTAGTGATATCTTATTTGTACTGTTCTTTTTTTGGTTTTGCAGGGAAGACAACTGGAAAGAAGGTTTTGGAAGCAACTAAAGAGACGAAGAAGTGGGGCTAATGCAGTTATATCATCTCCACCCCAGGTTGCAGCTTGAACTGCTACATCAGTCCCAAAGTTCCATCATTTCTCACTATGCTTTTACTGCTCAGTCTGATGCAGCATGTTCATTAAACATATTAAAAAATGAAAACAATTCAGATGTCATTACTTCCCAATAGATGTCATAAATATATAGTTTATGTTAAACACTGAAAAAACATTATTATGGTGTCACCCCATGTTCCAAATTTTAGATCTTCTTAACATGGAAATGGAGAAGTAACAGATGATATAATTGAAGTGTTGTTACTCATCAAAAGAAGACCTGTTCAATATTAATGATGAAGTGACTCGGAAGATTTCAAAGGAGAGCAGGCCTAGATATTGCTGTAAGTTACACCAGTTACTGCGGATTCAACTGACATTGAAGTAGAAACCTGTGATGGATGACTTTCTAAAGCATAGAAAGTATTATGGAGGAAAAAGGTAATTGTACATTGTATGTATTCAGTGGGCAGGTTATGTTAGGTATCTGCCTAATACTGCAGTAAATGTTGTAACTTTGACACCTAAGTCCCAATAAGTGCGGTACAAAATATTTCAAAGGAAACTGAATCATGTAAGTGCCAAAGTTACTGCATAACTACAAAATGCTTTTGACGAAATGACAAACGTAGGGATGGCATAATAAAAAGTGAGATAAATTTTCAACATTAAATTTTATACTAAAAATGTAATTATACATGTCATAATTCTTTTCTTTGTATTACCTTTTTTTGGAACATGAATTCAATGTTCATTTGTACTGTTTATTCCCTTTGTTGAATACTTATTACAGCTATTAAATTCCAGGTATGGATCTAAAATTAAAAAGCTACGAACTAATGTTAATTAACTAATTGCACATTCATTGGCAATTTTATTTACCGATGAATACTTCAGAGAATACCAAATATTAAATGAGCATGTGTACAAAACACTATTTTTACCATTTTGAAGCCTATTTTCAGATTGGCTCTTTATTTATCCTTTATCATTTGTGCATCACACTGTCCAGCACATTCCAACTGGGTGTGTGTTACCCTAGCATGGCCCTAAAACATCCCTCTAGAGTAATTTTTTAGTTCACTGTACTTTCGTTCACTGCATTCCATAATATTTTCCAGCTGTAATTTATTCATAATTATCAGCTATAAAAGTTCCAGTCACATGGTCATGATATTGACACACATTCAAGGTCTTGCCAGTAGCATCTAAATGCAAGTCATAAGGAATACCAAAAAAATGCCAACATTTCTGTCACATGTTTGTAAATTTGTTAGTGGTGAGAGGATGATTATGTTCAATGGGTGGTAGAACAGAGCACTAATAGAAGTTTTAAATACAGAAACTAACCTTCATTATGTATTTTCAGTTTGCTGCATCAAGTGTTTATAGTTTGCCGGCACCGACATGAAGACGAGGTAGCAGTTGTAGGAAGGGGGGAAGGGAGGGGAGAGCAAGGCCAGACTATTTTTTGAAGTTCTGAATACAGACACTGACATACATTTTCTACTTGTGCTAGTGGAAACCAGTAGAATATTGTATTTCCATCAACAGGAAGTTATGTTGTCACAATGGCATGAATTTTGAGAAATAAAATAAGAACTGCACGAGCTAATTTTGGAGACTGGCTCTGATGAATCAATCTCATCTGATATGGAAAGTGACTTTCATAAAGACACTGTGGCAGCTGGTGAGAGCAGTAATGTAGCAAAGTCTGAATATTTGGTAATGACAGTAACAAATCAAAATTGAGTCTACCTTTCTCCTCTCTAATAAGATGGAAAGGTGTACTCTTTGGAGTACACTGACATTCCAGAAGTGTTCTTCACATAGATCATTGAACAATGTGTTTTGATAATGTTCTTGTGGCATTGTTGCACTCTTTTAATCAAAGGTCAGTATTCCTCTACAGTGTGTTCCAGCAATGACCTGTTCCCATTGTTGTGCAATGTTTTAGGCCACTGTTGCATTGTGGTTCAGTAATATTGTTGCACAATGTGCTCCAATGATCTTTCCTCCCATTTATGTGCAACAGTGCATTCCAACAATGAAACAATGCCTCTCATTACTGTGCAACAGTGAACCTGTTCATGTAGGTTGCTCATCAGGTGTTCTTCACTCACATCAGAGCATGATGAACACCTAAAAATGTCAAGATTTAAATACTGAAAACTAAAATTATGCCGGTTATTTGCTACGGGGGTTAAACTTTGTCACACATTAAGGGAACAGATTGAGGGGTACTGAGAGAAGTCCTTGGACCTTAGATATAGCAAGTGACAGGAGGCTGGAAAAAATGTTGAGAAGCTTCATGATTTTTCACCAGGTATCAGAGGAACAGGATGGATGGTACATCTGTGTGTAGATAAACTGTCATATTAAAATGGGTCTTGGAAAAGCAGGGTGGAACAATCAGGAACATAATCTTCTGGCTCAGGATAGGGACAAGTGGCAGTATTTTGTGAATATGGTAATGAACAGTGAAATTTCAGGTTCTTGTTGGTATAAGTATGAAGTCTTCTGGAATGTTGCTCCATATAGTCTGGTAGAAATGCACCAATGTTTCAGAGGTACTTACTGGCTCAGTCATCAGGGTGATGAGTCTGGATGATGGAGGTAGTAAGCACCTCCAAAATATCAGGTAGGGAAATTCTCGACTAACTCTGGGACTTTTAATTTCTCAAGGACTCTGCTCCATGGAGTTATGAGGCTTAATTTCGTACATTATACTAAAATATTAAGAAAGTATTTAGGAATACCTTATCTGATCAGTACAGAACATGAGATATGTAAATTTTGAACAAACTGCCAACCCTAGTTAATTCAAACAAAAACTGTTGCTGAATTTGCCATTGTTACTAATCCGTGCCTGTTAATGCCATCACATGTTCTTACAAAGTTCCTTTGTATTCACAACATGTATTTCTGCCTGCTATACCATCTCTCTACACATTTTTATATAAAGATGTGTTTGCAACTTTTATTTTTTAAAATGCGGTGCCAAAAGTTGATCATGTCGTGAAACACATATAAGAACAAAATAATTACTATTACTGTTCATCACATACAAATACAGTACCACACTGTCAGTGTGCTACATGACATGGAAATGTTTGTTCTTGTTATAAATTATGTACATAAATCTAGATCATACAATAAATAAGTTGTGCACGTTTGTTGACAGTTACTTTTATTTCAGGATCACCAGTGTCAACCTGGAGAGGTAAAGGAACAGATATCAATAAGTTGTTCTACAATAAAAATTGACAACATACTTTAAGATTGCAGGATAAAACATTTCAATGTTAAGTAACAAAAATTACTCTCAGCTGACTCGTCTCTTGTCATTTGTTAAATATTTTCCTCTTCTCCGAGAACAACATAAACTGTTTAGTGAAGACAACTTGAATACTCCAAGCTTAATACTCAAGACTATAACTGAGTTCTGCACTTGGTCTTCTGCTTTTCCTCATATATATATTGTAACGTGGGTCGGCGTTGCGACCTGGATTGTCAATCCTGATTTATTCACGTCAAATTAAATCAGATACAGAGGTCTACACATACAGTCATCTCTCTACAACAACAACACACTCGAGTCTCTGTGCGCGCACACACACACATTCTCTCGCTCTGTCCATCGAGTCTATCTGGTCCCCGAGCTCCGCTCTTCACACTCTTCACACTCTTCTCCTACAAGTCGGCCCGTAGCACCCCACTGGACACACGCTGGCCCCTCGGCCGCTCCGGTCCACGTACCCGGTGCTTGCTCACGCAGCCGACCAGTCCTTACTCGGCGTCGGCCCGTAGCACCCCACTGGACACCCGCTGGCTCCTCGGCCGCCACGGTCCACGTACCCGGTGGTCGCTCACGTAGCCGACCAGTCCTTACTCGGCGTCGCACCAGACCTCTCGTTGGCTCCACTCACTCTAAAAATACGACAATGTCTATAAATAGACAACAATACCGAATACGACAATGCCAAACCCAATAATGTTAATAAACATACAACAATGCCAGACGTAACAATGTCAATAAACAGACAACTAAACTGTTTATTGACATTGTTGTGCTGCTCTCACGACAATAATTTACTGCCAACCTAAACTCTAAAATCACACTTTATGTGGACAATACTATTATTCCACATCCAGAAACTTTTCCAGATTTGCATGAATGATGTCTTTGCTTGCTTGAAAAAATGGATTAAAGGCAATAAACTCACATAAAATTTTGACAAAACAAATTTCATGAAAGTTTGTACTACCAAAAGAAGTGTTATGCTAGGAAGAGGGTATAAGGATAACACAATTGAAGAAGTATAATCAACTAAATTTCTTTGCCTACAAATTAACAATAACTTATATTGGAAACACATACATTAATTACATTATTCCTAAACTATGCTCATCATGCTTTGCTATATGAGGACTGTTACATGACTCATGAAAACAGAAACTTTAAAATTAGTCTACTTTGCCTTCTTCTGCTCGATCATGTCATATGGAATTATTTTCTGGGGAAACTCAACAGGCAGAAAAAAAGTACTTTCTATCCAAAAGCAAATTAAAATAATGGTAGGCACTTAAGGGAGAGCATCATGCAGGCAATTGTTTAAGAAATATAATATTCTTCCACTAACCAGTGAATTCTTGTTCTTATTATCATCTGTAATAAACAACATGGAAAATTTTCACACTCAGATATCCACAATATAAGTATAAGATACAGACATAACTTTCATATGCCACACTCTAAACTCAGTAAAAAAAATATATATATTATTTTGGAATTAAGCTATTCAATAATTCACCCCCCCCCCCTTGTAAAAAGTCCGAATCATAATATTTAGAAGTGTAAGCGATTACTGAAGGAGCATCTCCTGTCTCACTCCTTCTACTAGATAGAAGAATTTACCTCGAACAAAATTCTTAGCTATTATAAATACTTATAAGCAACAGTGGGTATGCTGTCTTATGTAATTACTTTTGTGGTAATTCTGTTGTTGACTGTATATTACTGTCAATTTACATTTGTATAAGAAACAAGTATTGTATTTGTATTATAATATCCCTGACTTAGGCCTATGAAATATATAAAATTCTATTAAATTTTATTCTATATCGAGATCTCATGATCAACTAACATGACAATCGACGAACTTACTCGAAAACGAAAACATTTCTAACTTTGTATGTTAGTGTTTTTTGTCGTAGGTTGGCATCACAGAGGAGCTTTCTCATCTGGAAAGCACGTTGTGTAATTCTTTCAGTGACCAGAATAGGTGACAGAATTATACATCATTTACTTTATAAATTCGGCGTTTCTCTGTAATACATAGCCATGCCTCCAAGAAAGGGAAAGGGTAAAAAAAATGTGGAAGATGTTGAAGAGAAGACTGGTGGTGATGACACTGAGGTAATAACCTCAAAATCCTCCAAGGCAGTTTTCAAGAAAAAGCAAAAAGGAAAAAAAGATGATTGGAGTGATGAAGATGGTAAGTTGGAAGGTAAATTAAACACTTTGTCAAAAGGATCAGATGACGAACAAATTGTCGTTGTGAAACCAGTAAAAAAAGAGAAGAAAAAACCAAAAACCAAAAAGAAAAGTGAAAGTGATGAGGATTCTGATGATGAAGCTACCCAGAAGGAACCAGTGGAGAAGACTGGAGATGCTGATAAAACTAATAGAGCAGCGAAATCAAAGAAAAAAACAAAGGGCAAGGGCAAAATAGATGAATGGAGTGATGATGAAGACAAATTAGATGAGAAGTTTAAGGAACTTGGTAGAGTGTCAGATGATGAGGTTCCTGTTTTGAAGCAATCAAAGAAGGATAAGAAAAAGCCAAAAGGTAGAAAGAAGGTTGAAAGTGAAGACGAATCTGATTTTGCTGGTGAAGATGAAGAAGATGAAGACCTTCCTGTTGTCACACAAAGAAAGAAGGAAAAGAAAAAATCAAAAAATAAAAAGGTTGAAAATGAATCAGATCACGAAGTAGATGAGATTGAGGATGATCTTGTTAATAAAGTATCTAAAGTAGGACTTGATAAGAAGAAAGACAAAAAGGGAACAAGAATTGATGTGAGTGAAAAGTACAAGAATAATAAATTGAAAGATAACAGAAAGGAACCTCCTGAGAATATTAACACTGGTGATGATTCTGACAAAGAGGAAGAGGAATCTAGTGCTGCTGCAGATGGTTCTACAGGTAAGATTATGGCAATGTATGCACTACTTCAAAGGTTGAGGACTATTGTGTGATAGTATACATACATTTTTGTGTCTGTTTTTGTCTTCCTGTCTGTAGCCATCATCAGCATCATTAGCCGTCCATGCCTTAGGCCTAGTGGCCTGTTATAGCCTCATGCCAGCATTTGTAGGGTCTCCTCAAAGAGCTTTGTCATTTGGTTCATACTGGAAAATTTGGACCAAGATCATCTAGCATTCATAAAACTCAATTTTCCAGTTAACTTTAATTTTACATGGATTCTGTGATTGATTTTGTATTCCTTTGATGTATCTAAATTGGTTTTATAACCTGCTTGAGTGTAATTGCTATTCTCCTCATGAACTTAATTTCTGCTTTCAGTATACTGTGCAGTTATTCAATGAAAAACCAATATATCATTTGAACCTTGAAGTCTAGGATTGTAATGAAATTTGGTATATATATTGGTCCCATTACCAACCATGTTTGTCAATTTTTTAATTTTTGTTAGCTGATTTCTCAAATATGGGGTATATGAAAATCACCCCCTACTAGAGTATTGAAGGTGGTTTCATGAGGTTTCTCTTTAACAACTTCTTGATAATGCACTTAAATAATCATTCTAGAGTTCACTGTAAAGCGTTGAAGTTTTCCTTGTGACCATATATAAATATACCTCACAACTTTAAAAACTTGAGGTTTATAAGTGGCTACAAGTTGTGAACTTTGGAAATTAACTGCAGAAAAGTTGCTTCTGGGATTCATTTGGAACATGATGAAATTACTTCTAAAAATCATATAACTTCCACTTAACATAACATTTATTAAGCAAAGGAACAACCAAGCAAAAATTTCAGGCAAAAGCAGTCACCTTTTCCTGTACATACATAGTAAATTTATACTTTTTTGGTAAACGGCTAAGATATGGTTGACCACATTAGTGCACATTTGGTCATGTTTTACATTATCACAGTATAAAACTCTCAAACACGGCTTCAGTTTACAATGTCTTTCCATGTCATGCATGTGAATGTTCTAACTTATCTAGTGACCATCGATTTCTTAATTTGTCCTGTAACAGTTTGGTTATGGCTTTCTGTATCTTTGCGTGGGGATATATTGACATCCTGCTCTGAGGAAGTAAGATTGTGGCAGTGTGGATTGGATTGAAATAGCTCAGCATATGGTCCAGTTGCAGGTGTCATACCTTTTGATTATAATATTAGTTCCCCTGATTTGATCGCTTTTTGCATTACTCCTACAAATTCTGTATTACAATGGAAATTATGTGGTTCTGTCTTATATTGGAAAAATTAAGACATTCTTTCATACCATTCAGGCATTTTTGCTTTTGTTCTGAATTAATAACATGAAGCATAAATGTAATCTGAGCTCTATAAAATCATGGTTTAATTTTTCCAGGTGCTAGTAAAAAGAAACTTACACATAAAGAGAAGAAGAAGTTAAAGAAACAAGTAAGTATTTAATTTATGTGCATATAATTTTTGTTTGTAAAATCTTATACTATAAAAATTTGTGATTAGTAGTTGTCGTCAAAATATGACGTCATCAACAATGCCACATATTTGTTTACTCGGTATTAGTAAACAAATAACGCTTCACAACAAAGAAATCAAAAACTATCAAGCCAGTCGCATTATCACTGCTCCAGAAGCAGCTCATCGCCTCCGAATAGCGACATAAAACTATTTAAGAAATGAAGAAAAGTGAAAAAGACGTTGCCAACGCCGACAAGGTAATCTGATACTAATAATAATATTCATAAAATAAGAAACTAAACTAACCCCCCGAAGGGGGGTAGTTTAGTGTCTTACTCAAGATTTTAAAACGCAACCAACCCCCCCGAAGGAGGGGTTGGTTACGTATTAAACAACTGACCAACCTCTCGAAGAGGGGTTGGTCAGTTGTTTTAACCACCATTCGGGGGGCTTAGTTTAGTTTCTTACTCAAGGGTTAAAACACTTGAATGAGACACTAAACTAACCCTTCCGAAGGGGGTGTTGGTTGCGTTTTAAGAACTTGACCACCGAATGGGAGTTAATTTTGCGTGTTACTTAAGATTTTAAAACGCAACCAACCCCCTATTAACCCTCAATTTGGGGGGGTTTAGTTTAGATTCTTACACAAGATTGGTTGCGAAAGAAGCGCCCTGCTCTAGTAAAACAAAAGATCCTGTTTGGATGTTGGTCCATGTAGTCTCGTAAAAATTTACCAGTGTTTATTTAAGAAGTGTTTACTGCCTCCATCATTAGGGTGATGAGGCAATAAGCACCTCTAAAATGTTTGTCAGTTTCTATGAGACTACATGGTAAACATCCCAGGTGACAATAATCTTCTTGCTGCCATGAGAACCAGAAATCTCACCAAAAATCCTGTTTTTTATTACCTGTTTACAAGAGAATATTCTAATTATAGCACTCACAACTTTAAAAGTTTATTTGTTTGCACTTTTTTTAAACAGGCCAGGTAATGCATTGCTGTATGAAATGCGTTTCTTCAGTAACAAAACAAATTTTATTTCATTTCAATTTCAGATGGAGTATGAAAAGCAAGTTGAGACATTAACAAAGAAAGGTGGGCAGGGTCACAGTGAGCTTGGTGAAAACTTCACAGTATCTCAAATGCAAAAGTCAGCTGGTCAGCTACAAGCTCTTGAACATGCTGTAGATATTAAAGTGGAGAACTTCAGTATATCAGCAAAAGGCAATGACCTGTTCGTCAATGCTAGTCTTCTTATTGCTAGTGGGCGTAGATATGGTCTTGTGGGACCAAATGGGTAAGATGCATTTTAATCTGAATTGTTGATGATGTATTGTTAAAACCCTTTGCGCCCAATAACAGTCTCCTGTCCCCCTCCTGACTGGTACCCTTGTGACGAGTTCCACTGCATCATACAATAACCCAGTTTCTTAAGACTATAGTAGAACTATTCCAATAGACAATAACACAAACTACCACAGACCTCTTCTCAATTACTAATCCAAACGTAAATCACACTTGGTGAAAGACTCTCAGGTTACAAGCCACATCAGGTGGCTGAATGGTGAATAAACCATATCTTCTGCCAATGTTTTCACCATTCAGCCACCTGACGCAGCTTGTAATGCGTTCTACATTTTTCTTGCATTTTAGAAGGTTTCAATACTCAATTCTGGAATTAGCTGTTGCAAATGTCATATTAGACATTTTACAGCCTTGCCGTTGTGTATTGTGGTTATCTTGGTTTTAACACCATGTAATCTTGTTTTGGAGGAACATATGAACCATCATATTCAGGGTAGATGAAGATGGAAGTGATATCTACCTGCAAAACCATATCATTATCTTATCATTCCAGCCATGGCAAAACAACTCTGCTCCGTCATATTGCATCACGGGCATTTGCAATCCCTCCAAACATCGATATCCTCCACTGTGAGCAGGAGGTTGTCGCAGATGATACTCCAGCTGTAGAAGAAGTTTTGAAGGCTGATGTGAAGCGAACAGCTCTTCTAGAAGAATGCAAGAAACTTGAAGCTGAACAGGAGAAAGGAAATATGGAAGTTCAAGCTCGGTTGAAAGAGGTGCTTTTGCTTTTATTTTAATTAAAAGACTTCATTCTGAAAATGTATCAGGTGGAATGCACATAATTTTCATAAAATAATAGTTTTGCTTCATTTCAATGTTCATCAAAATGAAATTGTATGTAAATTTACAAGGATTATCTTGGGGACATTGTTTGGAATTCTAGACTATTCAGTAATCATCATAATTTTTTCTCTGTACATTTGTCTGTCATCATTTCATAATGTTATTTGTACTCTTTTCATGTTTCTTCTCTTGGCTCTTGACTGCACATATTCTTGAATGTCATGTCACCTTGCTGGTCTCCAAATACATGTCCTTTATTTATTTATAGGTTTAAAGCTTTCCTTACTGTCCTGAAAAGTCTTATTCATATACCAAAACCACTTACAGCAATATCAGAATTGATTCTAAAAGTCAAACTTCAGTTCCTTCTGTTACTGTCATCCTTTATTATGTCTCCACTTATTATTCCAGTTATGCTGCTTATGATTCTCATCTTCACTTACAACTTTCACTTTACTTTTTATTGATGTTTAAGCTGTGCATGTCGTTACTGGCTTGAAATTTGATCCATACATAATTATTTTATCTTCTGATGATATTTTCTTCCCATTTCTATAATATACTGTTGTTGCATAAAGGCCTCGCTAATCAATCTCGCCCAGGGCCTCGCAACTAGCTCCGCTGCCACCATATGTAATGTACAAGTAGGTCTGACGATGGCGTGTAGTAGCTCTGTAACGTGTAACCTCAAATACTGAAGTACTGTATTATATATTTCAAAATACATGTTGTGATTGACAGAGGACATTGAACAACCTAGTTTTTAATGCAATGGTATGTCACAGTTAAAGTTGGGAAAGGATTGTGTTACTTGGAAGGAGTGCACAGTTACTGGCTGCTACAAAGGGAGCAATAACAGTGCAGTAATAGGAAGAGAGCAGTTATACCTAGTGTGAAGTCTGGGTATCTATAATCAGTAATGTGATTTGTAAATTGTCAGAACATTAATTAAGGGAATAATTAATTTTATTAGTGTGCAGAATAAATTCATATTCCAATTTCAAGAATCCGGACCAGTTTAATCATTGGTCTCCATTACAGTGTCTTTTACTGCCTAATGATATTTTTCACAATGTCTAATTCTGTTTTTATCTTGAATTCTTTCAATAACTATAAGTTTCCTTATCCACTAATTATGTGCCTTCTTCATATAAAATCATTGTAACAGTTTCCTTATTGCTACTAATAACTACACACATTTGTGTGTTCCTATTCAGGTTTCTGATTCATAACTCAATCACTGCTGGTAGGTATTTTAAACACAATTTACACTTTGATCCATATATTTTTACTACGTAGAATTGTTTTTATGCATAATAGTGCAAATCATTTTTCTGTAAATATAATGAAATCACTCTACTTTTAATCAATACTCATCGTTCATGTACGGCAGGGGCCGTCAACCTTTTTATACCTACCGCCCACTTTTGTATCTTTGTTGGTGGTAAAATGTCCTTACTGCCCACCGGTGCCGCACGTACGGCCCACCACCATGAATGAGGTACAGCTCGAAGACAGTGATGGCCGGCCTCGTTATGCGCACTAAACTCGTGCCTTTGGCTACAGAGCTCATTCGTTGCTCCCTCCTCCATGAGTATACTTCGAGAAGTGTCCGGTGAATTATTATCTGTATTCAAAGTTTAGAGATGGAATTCAAAAGTAAATTGCAAAAGCATATTTTAAAAAGTCAAACTCGCGAAGTTGTTAGCAATGTATTCGATAAATGGAGGAAGAACCAAATTTGTAACAACTGACAAAAACCCACACCGCCCACCATGAAGGGACCAGGTTGACGACCCCTGATGTACAGTCTGTAGAGAAACATTATTGAAGTAGCCATTTTATGAATTAGATCTTTGGGTAAAATTTATTTTACTTGCTTTTAGATTAATATTGGTGTGAAGATTTATGATATAACTATATATCTAAAAAAACTGCTATTCATTGTGCCCTCTAAATGGGGAGTTGACAATTTAATAAGTGTCTTAAAAGATCAGGCATCATATTTGGCAATGGTAATAAGCCCTTCCAGTGTTCCAATAGCACAGGTTGCTTGTCTGTTTATTAATAGGACCCATTTGTATCTAGGTGTATGAGGAATTGAAGGCGATTAATGCTGATTCTGCAGAACCACGTGCTCGGCGTATCTTGGCTGGTTTAGGATTTTCAAGAGAGATGCAGAATCGTGCCACCAAAAATTTCTCTGGTGGCTGGCGAATGAGGGTGTCTCTTGCTAAGGCTTTGTTCCTAGAACCAACCCTCCTGCTGTTGGATGAACCTACCAACCATCTTGATCTTAATGCTGTCATCTGGCTAGATAAGTGAGTATAATTATTATTCTGCAAATGTGATAAATAAGTTGAATGCTGTGTGCACTTCTCTTGTAATTACTACAATAATTACAATAATTTTATTCACCGTCTTTACACAAGCTTATAGATTGTTAAAATCACATAAAATTATAACATTTCAACATTTGATATTGTTACATTTTAAAATGACGACATGTTTCGATGTTCATTCCATCATCGTCAGGTCTATCAATCAAAATTAAAAACTGTTGCATCTGCTGCTCTGCGTATACTGATTTTGTTCTACCCGTTAGATTTTATTTGTTTAACCTCCAGGCTTCTTCCATTTAATTTTGAGGGCTGCGCCTGGATGCCTTAAATCTGCAAAATCAATTTT